CATCTTCAAAGTTGGCGCTGTTCATCTGCTCGTACAGTCCTTCAAAGTAGGCGGTCGCTTCAGACTCGTTGACAGTGCCTGCAGAGTTGGTCTCCACTGTTTGGTTCAGTGATGACAGCTGGGCAGCAGAGAGAAGACTGGCCAACGGTAGGGCGCCATCTGTTTCGGTCATCTGCTCTTGCTGCTGTTGTTGTTGTTGCACCTTGAAGGCCTCAATCTTAGCGCAAGTATCGTAGAACTCTCGCAGCAGCGGATCAGCACGGTGGCTGTCATCAATTGGAGACACTGCATTGTCCCTGCACCTTCGTCCACGCCCTCGTCGACTGCGAAGCTGTTCATTGAGTTCTTCAAAGTCAATTTGAGGCACGGTGACATTGTCGCAGAAGTGGTGCACCTGCGATGCCATGATTCGACAGAGGCCGAGGTAGGCGGTGGAGAGGTAGGAGAGTGACACTCCGCCACCACCGCCATTAGACTGTAACGCCTTTTGGATGGCCCGCAGTCCTGCAGCCAGGTCCACTCGCAGCCATTCACCACGACGGAGTTGGGCATTTTGGCAGAAGGCGGCTTTCCACAACAGCGACAGGTCAACAGCGGGGCGTGCAGCTGAAGGACGAGGCTTCTTGTTCTTTCTCTTCCTCTTCATATTCATCTTAGAAGGAGGCATTCTTCACTTTCTCAATTTAAAATCTTTAAACACTCAAATCTTTAAGAACTTTAGCTTCTCAATGCTGCCTATAAACAGACTAGAGCGGTGAATTGTTGCAAAAAGCTTTTGAAACAAATGAAAGGTACATTCTAATTTACAAATAACAAACATCAATAATACAAAGTTAAATGTGCACCTTGTTGAAAAGTAAAAAGAGTGCGGAAGCTAATTTAGTCAGTGGCTGAAGCATTGTTGCTGGTGTCGATGCGAATCGGACGAATCTGGTTGCCATCCACATAGAGAATAGCACACTCGTTTTGATTATTACAGTAATGACTGCAACTACAAAAAAGAAAAAAGCATAATTAACCAAACAGGAAACCTGAAAATCACTAAAAGCGCATACCTGAACACCGTCGTGCATTTACGATCAAAGAGGAACGAGAAGCCGTTGGCCTGAATATGAGCACAGAGCAAATGAGTTAGTGAATTGGAAATGATTCAAAAAGATCACTTCACTTACGGGCACTTCATGAGCTCGGAAAATGTGCGAGAGACCATTGGCGGCGAGGAAACGGTCCACCGCCTCCTCGCTGAAGGCCCAGGCAGTGCCACGTTTTCGATTGGGCAGAAATCCGCCGCACTGTGAGACGTCCAACTGCATGGTGCGGGCAGTGTCGATGAACTGAGGCTGCGTCATCGGGTCGGACCAGAGAATCTCCCAGGCTATGGGCGACTCCTGTTGCGGTTCGCCAATTGATGCTGGCAAATTGGCAGCAATCTCCTCGAGGGTGGCCGCCGCACGAGGTATGCCGCCGTGAGCGCAGAAGGCCGCTCCGTCGACGACTGCACAGAGCGGCAGCACATCGAAGATGCGATTCGTCAGCTGCCAGATCTTCATGCCCACATCGTCGCCGTACTTGGTCAGGCATTCACCCTGGTAGCTGTAGTTGCACTGCAACGATCGAACCTAAAAACAGACAGTAAATTATGAGATTATCAATAGACAAACTAAATTCAACTTCCATTACCTCATGATTTCCTCTGAGCAGTGTCACCTTCTCCGGCGCCATGACCAGCATGCAGAAGAGGTACGTGGCGCATTCTACTGACCTAAGCAACGAAAGGCGTGTTTTAGAAATCAAGAGCACAACAGTTGTCCCCACCCTCATCCTCATCATCAACTTACCACTTTCCACGATCGACAATGTCCCCGAGAAAGAGCATATTCGGACCGACCAGTGGAAAGCGCTTCCAGAGACTGCGCTCCAGGCTGAGCAGGTCATCGAGGTTGCCGTGAATGTCGCCGACGACGTACACCGGCGAGGGCACCTGCACGACGCGGTTGTTGCGCAGCACCGGCACCAGCGCCTTCTCCAGCTGCTCCAGGTGGTCGAGAAAGCGACGGACGCTGCTGTCCGACTTGGTCTGGAAGCCCACCGGATTGGCAGTGTCCCCTTTCACTAGGGCAAAGGCGCGCAGCTGAAGGAGCAGACGGGCGGCCACCTCTTGCGCCGCCTCCATGTCCTTGGTGCCGAGGATGGCGCTGGGCAGTGCGTCGGCGATGCCCTCCACACTGGACAGCGAGCTGAGGGCGTTCAGACTGGTGTTGCTGCCCACCTGCTGGGTCTTTCGGCTGCGCACCGACTTGTGGTGCGATTTCTTGCGGTGCACTCGACTGCCGTGCTTGCCACCGCCCGCCACAGCGCCGGCACTGCCGCCTCGGCCCACCTCTCCACCGCTGGCCGTCTCCACTGGCTTCAGCGCTGAGCTCCGCTCCATCTTGTCGGAGTAGCCTTCCGAGGTGAGTCGGTGGACGGACTCCTCCAGCAGAGCCTTCNCGTCGGCGATGCCCTCCACACTGGACAGCGAGCTGAGGGCGTTCAGACTGGTGTTGCTGCCCACCTGCTGGGTCTTTCGGCTGCGCACCGACTTGTGGTGCGATTTCTTGCGGTGCACTCGACTGCCGTGCTTGCCACCGCCCGCCACAGCGCCGGCACTGCCGCCTCGGCCCACCTCTCCACCGCTGGCCGTCTCCACTGGCTTCAGCGCTGAGCTCCGCTCCATCTTGTCAGAGTAGCCTTCCGAGGTGAGTCGGTGGACGGACTCCTCCAGCAGAGCCTTTTTCGCGCGACAGCCCACACAGGAGCCGTGGTACGGCTGCTCGAGGACGCTCACCAGCTTCTTCTCCTGGTTGGCCGTTCGCTGGGCGCGCATGAAGATCGCCGAGCTGATGGCCGTGCAGATGGACTTGCCCAGGCGGCAGAGCTTCGAGGTGCCGCGAATCTTGTGCGAGCCGACGGCAGAGAGGAAGCGACGCTGGCGGATGATGTTCTTCCCCAACTCCTCGTCCCTCTCCGGCCTCACCGCGCGCCAGATGTTGCTCAGCTCCGCCTCGATGGACTCCTCCGTGACGCCGTCGGAGTTATCCGGATTGAGCGCGTGAATGTCCTGCAGCATCAGTCGCAGGTCGTCTTCGGTAAGGAAGCCCCTGCGGTAGACGTCGTAGTATCGCAGCACAAAAGCCGCCCGTTCCTCATTGTGAATGGAGCTGTTGTCGATANGCGCGTGAATGTCCTGCAGCATCAGTCGCAGGTCGTCTTCGGTAAGGAAGCCTCGGCGGTAGACGTCGTAGTATCGCAGCACAAAAGCCGCCCGTTCCTCATTGTGAATGGAGCTGTTGTCGATGCAGGCGAGGCCGATTAGAAGCTCCGGAAAAGAGATCGCCCCGCTGTTGCTCGAGTTGAAGGCGCGAAAGAAAGCCCACAGGCGGTCGTCGGTGTAGCGCAAGCCGTACTTGGTGAGGAAGACTTTGAAGGAGTGGGCGGCCATGGCCTTCGCCGGGTGACAGTGCTCAATGTAGTCACTGTACAGGCGTTCAATGTCCTTCTCTGTGAGGTGGGCACTGTATAGCAGCTGCTGCTCATTGCCCACCGGTGGGTTGCGGGGCACGTGCTTGAAGGCCACCTCGAGACTGCGCTCGTCGAATGAGGTGTACAGCGACTGGCCCTCACGGAGACAGGTGCCCACGATGGCGGTCAGCTCGACCAGCTCCGTGCCCCAGAGGTAGTCCATGACGGCTTGCGTCTGCTCGCTGATGTCCGCCACGTCGATCCAGAGGAGGGTGTCACTGTCCTCGCAGCACTTGAAGCCGGTCTTCTCCTGCTCCAGGCGGACGTACCACGTGAGACGCTTCATGATCTCCTGCGACTGCGGCAGCTGCACGTCGTGCACCTCAATCAGCGATCGCTCCGTGTAGGGGCAATGCTCGTCCAGGCGCAGCGACAGCTCCACATTGCCCCCCGACAGAATGAGCAGAAGTCCAGTCTGTCCGGCCTCCTCCCAGCTGCGATTCGGCGGAATGGGCGTGAAGGGCATCCACATGGCCTGGCGGTCAGTGGGCTTGCTCACCGCCACCTTCTTGTGCTCGGCGCAGTGAATGAGGTAGACTGCGCAGTGGAAGCCCTGCTCCACCATCTCCTTGATGCTCAGCCAGTTGTGGTCGTGGCTGGTGGCGCCCGCCACCGCCCCCGACACGGGCAGCAGGCGGGGCGCAAAGACGCCGGCCATGCTCGAGGAACGGGAGTGAGAGGTGGAGCGGGTGCGCTCTCCTGAGGCGCTTCGCTGACGTGCCGCCGGCTCTGCCGAGCGAACCTTCGCCAGCGACTTTCCGCCGCCCATTGACTGTTTGGTGTGACTGTTCACCGCCCGGGCACGACTCCCTCCTTGCTTTGAGCCCTTCGCCCGAGCCTGTCGAGGCACCTTGCCCAGCTTCTCCTTCTTCTTCTTGTTCGCCAGGCCGACCATTTCGAAGAAGGAACGGACGCCATCGCTGATGTCGTCCATGTCGTTAGAGTCAGTAGTGGTAGAAAGGGGAAGGGTTGCTGAAGAAAAACAGTAAAACAATAGCTGAGCAGAAATGTGAGGAGATGTGAAGCTGCTTTTCAACTGACCTGACCAACACTGATGAGCTGTATTTTAGTAACAGCAATAGTTTGATAGTTTGTAGTTCGAAAATAGTTTCCCACAATCAATCAACTGATGATGCTAAAAAGACTGTGAATTTTAATAACTGTAGTAAGGGTTTAGCTGGTGACGTTGCTCCAAAGCTTCCAGAACTAATTTAAGTTTAATGGCTCAGGGCAACGCCTAATATGAAAAACAGCGAGACAGCTGGACTGAGCCTGAAACAATGCCGGTTAAAATTCCTTACTGCAACTTTGTAAAATTAAACACAGTTTTGTTCACAACAATTGGCTGGAAACTGTNCAGCGAGACAGCTGGACTGAGCCTGAAACAATGCCGGTTAAAATTCCTTACTGCAACTTTGTGAAATTAAACACAGTTTTGTTCACAACAGCTGGCTGGAAACTGTCTCCTCCTCCTCCAGCACCTCATTTTTAGGCTGCTGCTGCACCAGCACCTCTTCTTCAGGCTGCAGCAGTTGCGCCAGTACCTCTTCTTTAGGCTCCTGCTGCTGCTGAACCTTGTCCTCAATTTCAAGCTGCTGCGCCAGCTGCACTAGCACCTCCTCTTCAGGCTGCTGCTCTTCCGGTAGCTTATCCACTGGCACAGAGCTGCCCTTGACCTTGTCACTCGATGACTTGCCGCCCCCTGCCGATTCAGCCTGGTACACGGCAATGTAGGCGTATCGCTTCATACAATTGAGAGCACGCTCCTCGGAGATGCCCGGAGTGATGGCGTCATCGTCTGCGAGCATCCACAGTGACTGCCTTTTCGAAGGACGGGTGGAAAGAGAGAGGTCAGGGGCGGCCGGCACCGGGGCCTGCTCCTTCTCCNAGCATCCACAGTGACTGCCTCTTCGAAGGACGGGTGGAAAGAGAGAGGTCAGGGGCGGCCGGCACCGGGGCCTGCTCCTTCTCCGCAATGAGCGTAGTGTAGTGGCCCTGGAAGACCTCGCCGCCTCGGTGGAGGACACAGCAGCGAAGACGGTACTTCAGTCCGGCCAGACGCAGGTGGCTGGAGATGGTCACTGGACGGGTGATCTTGGTGCCGTTCTCATCGAAGCGTTTCAGGTGCAAAATGAGGTAGCGTGGTGAGCGGACGATGGTCAGCTTCTTTGAGGCAGGCTCACGGCGGTTACACTTCTCGCAGAGCGGGGCACAGTCGTCGCTGAGGATCTGCCGAAGGTAGTGAATTTAAATCTGAGGTCAGTGCAGTACTCAAAAACCGCACTTACCTCCGTCTCCATGAACTCGCTGATGCAGTTGGCCAGTGTGAGAGTGGGCTCCTTCTGTTCACCTTGTTCTGCCACTGAGCTGCCATTGGCGGCTGCCTCTTCCCCAGCAACAGCAGCGACAGTGGAGGTCTTTTTCTTCTCCTTCTGAACCGCCAGCGGCAGTTGCCAGAATGAACTCCAGGAGATGCTGCTGTTGCCGCACGTCTGACAGGTGAGACAGGACTCGGACTGGCCCATGAGCAGCTTGGAGAAGAAACTATTGTCCACGTTTGTCACATGCTGCTCCCAGGCCTCTTCGGCATTGCTTGGTTCGGAAGGAGTGGCAGGAGGTGGAGGAGGTGGAGGTTGTGGTGGTGGTTGCGACGGTGTCTCATACAAAATCTCCCCTTTCTCTTCCTTTTTGCTCGCCTTCTTTGCCTTGTTGCACTCATCGTGCAGTAGATCGAGCAGCAACGAGAGAAACTCCTGCGCGTCCTGCTGTTCATTGCGTCGAAACTGAGGCTTGGCTTTGCGAAACTCGCGACAAAACTCCACCGGCTTAACGGCGCCAAAGGAACACACCTGCGAGAGGATGCCCTGGTTGCGATTGCACTTGCGCATCTCTGCAAAGAGGCGGCTGAGAATGCGGTGAAAGGGCCCGCCGCCGTCATCGTCGTCCAGGTGGTAGAAGTGTCGGCGAATTTTGCTCAACGAGTACAGCGCCTGGAGAATGGAGTTGGCGTAGCAGGTGTTGCCCAGGTTCTTCAGGCCACTGACGTGGCTGCTCGGAACCGCAGGAGTAGCAGTCAAACTGGTGAGGGCAGCTGGGGGAGGCTCACGAAGGAGAAGGCCTCTACGTGGCTGCACTACTCCACTCAGCACAGTGGACAGCCTCACTGGCCGGGCAGTNAACTGGTGAGGGCAGCTGGGGGAGGCTCACGAAGGAGAAGGCCTCTACGTGGCTGCACTACTCCACTCAGCACAGTGGACAGCTTCACTGGCCGGGCAGTTGCAGCCACATCTCCATCTGCAGTGGTGTCCTCGATGGGCAGCGGAGTCTCCGAAGGAGTTGGTGGTGGTGCTGCTAGTGCAGCAAACTCCTCTCCACCAGGCCCTCCAGCGTCGTCCACCTCTTCCTCAATTCCTCCCCCATTGGCGGTCACATCAGCAGCGTGAAGCGGTGCCTGGTGCTGCGGCCCTCCTCCTCCTCGTCCTCGATCACTGCCAAATGCGAGCATCCCGGCGCAGCCATTGCCTTCTTCGGTCACTTCAAATGTCATTGCCTTGCGCTTGAAAGAAGTAAGGACACGTAGTGTCACTTTGGTTGAGAAAGTGAAAGCCCAAAAGATGATAAGAGTGCGTGTACATTTTGAGAGCCTTTTAAAAAAAAGCGTCTGCTGCTCAATGAAAGTTGGAACTTTTTTTCGAAAGTTTTCTAGCAGNAAGAGTGCGTGTACATTTCGAGAGCCTTTAAAAGCGTTTGCTGCTCAATGAAAATGAAAGTTAGAACTTTTTTCGAAAGTTTTCTAGCAGCAAGTATCAACAAAGCAGTTCTTTGAAAATGAGTTGGCCATCAGAAAAACTTGTGAAATGGTGTTGCTCAATGAAACTGCTAAACTGCACCTCACCATCATCTTTGCTTGCATTAGCTGCAACCCTCCAAATGCTTCGGCTCCTATCAATTCACATGCAAGTGACTGCTTCAGAACAAACAATAGAAGCTGATGATGGTGCTGCACCGCTGCCATTCAATTGGGACCTGAAGATGCACCAGAAAGTGTCAGACTTGTCTGTTGATGATGACAAGTCTGCCCCAGTGAAGAAGGGCAAACTGAGGAAAGCGTGGCAGTACGTGGGAGGTGCCGGAAACGCCGCCAAGGTCCTCCTGCAGGCCCTCTTCTCGGTCACTGCCGCCGTTAGCATCTGGCAGCAAGTGTCACTCTCAATTCAGGAGACGCTAAACCTGATGGGATGGAGCAATAAAACAAGTGGAAATAATAATATGCTTGAAGAGTACATCAGCAAGTTACAAAATAAAAGTAAACTCGCCGAAAAGCCGTCACCCGATCCAACCACTGAAGAGCCGGTCTTTGCCTTCTTTCGAAACAACTTCATAGCTTCCTGCCTCATCTTTGTCATCGTCAACATTGCGCTGATCATGTTCATGTGGCGCACCAGCAAGGAGCGGGCCTTGAAGAGGCAACTAAGAGCACAGCAAATGCAGGACATTATTGTGGTCGCGGGAGGAGCTGACAAACGGCGAAGTAAGAAGAGAAGAAGGAGGAAACGGAAAAGAAAGAAAAACGACACCTGATCAACGAATTGTGTTGTAGAATTTGCTTCTAAACACTAACATTTCAGTTTTCGAAGTTACCGTAAATGAAAACAATAAAGTCAGTTGAGTTTACATTTGAGCGAAGACTTTAGTTTGCTTTGTTGTCTTCATTTTTTGCGTAGACTAATGAAAAGCTTCATTTTGTTGATGTTCCTGCTGCTGTTTTGTTCAATGGCATTCACCTGGAACCCCAGTAAAAAGTATATCGATTCGATAAATACAAAGGCCGTGTATGACAAGAGGTTGGCGTTGACACAAAGTAAACAACCTTTGCTTTCAAAAGTTGGCGGTGGCCTGGTCAAGTACTCTACGAAAATAACCGTTTGGATAATTGGCGGGCTGGCGTGGGGCACACTTGCTTTAAGCGCCTACAACACGATCATTTTGCCACACTTAGAGAAAAAAGAAACCTTCAACTGGAGCGACGTGATGTCTGATCCGACATTCAAGAAGAATTTAGAGCAGCTGAGAAAGAACGAAGAGAAGATGTTCAAAAGACTTACCATTAAATCGAACCACAACCTTGTGGAGAAGGTTCTGAAAATACTGACCAAGTACTGGTACCTCTTCCTTGCAGTCATCATCTTCATCACAGTTTCGACCATCTTCTACGCAAAAGCAGGAAACGGTGATGGAAGCAAAACTACCACTAAACAACAACAGCAGCAGATTCATGTTCTTCGAGTAAACCACAAAAAACTGGCGGCATTGAAAATCCATCCTCCCAAACGGCGTAGAAGAAGGAGAAGGACATTGTAGGGAAATAATAAAATAAAAGTGTTGGAAGACTGAATTGTCCCGGGTTGCCGATTTTGAAGTTGAGCGTGCCAAATCAGCTGACTGAGGACACTGGGGCGCCACATTCGCCGGCCACTTCTGTCAGTCTGTCTCTCTGCGCCGTCTGCAGACGTCGTCTCTGTCGTCTGCAAACGCTGCTGGACAGAGGTTGTCGAGCACCCACGCCGTCTTCGTCGATTCACGCTTGACTTTGCTCTCTCCGGCTGCCAGCTTCCACCAGCTTTTATCTTTCGCCCAGTCATCCTCTTGACCTCGTAGTCAGCCTCATACTCATCTCCTTATCATCCTTATCATCTTATCATCATGGCCCTGGTCATTGTAGAGGATCCAAAGGAAGTCTCGGAGCTCGAAAGTGCTGCCGTGCTGAAGCTGCTAGGCGATGATTTTGCTCATTCGCGGTTTCCCATGAAGGTCTGGCGACTGGCCAGCGAGCCCACCTTTGGGCCGATCAAGTGGGCCGAAGATGGCAAAAGTCTGATCATTGATGAGCAGGCTCTGGAGCCCATGCTGGGCCACTTTTTCCGGTCTGACAAGTTCTCTTCGTTTCTGAGACAGCTTCATCTCTATGGCTTCCGGAAGATGTCAAAGCCTCACAGTTTCAAAGCCTTGCCAGACAGGAATAACAAGCCAAAGAAGAAGGGACGAAGCTCTCTGGACGGCTTTGCAGAGTACGCCGCCAAGGATTTTGAGCGTGATCAATACGAGAGCATCAATAAGGTTTGCCAAGAGGTTCACCCACTTTTCTATGACCATAAGTATTGACCATGACTTTCTTTCCCTTTGCCCGACAGGTGCGCCGATTTTACAACAACGCCATTCGGGAGAAAAAGACTAATCGTTCTAGCGGCAGTAGTCAGTCTTCGCTGTCTTCTGAAACCTCTTCTCAGGCCACGCTGCTTTCTGACGAGCGCCGAAAGCAGATGCTGGCCGAGCATTCTTACCCTCTGACTGAGGGGCAGCAGCAGCAGCAGCCCCCTCCCCTTTCCACTCTGCCAACCCCGACGGCGACCACTGGCCCAGTTCCCATTATGAACCGTCCATTACCATCGCCGTACGCCGAGGGCACCTCTGGCCACTACCCACAGCTGAATCATCATGGCCGTTTTATTTATCCATTTCCCCACATGCCACTAATCTACTCGCCTTCAACTGGCACCTACTCGCCACCTGGCTTTGCCGACGGCTTCGGCGCCGGTTTTGGTTATTGCAGCCCAGTCGAGCCGCTGTATCCGAGCTATCCAGGATTTGGAAGCGGGGCCGACCAGAACAGCCGTGACAGTGGCATCAGCGACAGCAGCTTCAGCAGCAGCAACAGTAGTAGTAACGATTCTTTCGACGCTTCCAGCTTCTTCCAGATGATTGATCCTTCGCAGCCGTACGCCGTAGCCTACTACCCCGTACCGGTGATGATGCCCACGCCCCCGGCCACCACCGCCCCACATTAAGTCAAGTCCTCCATACACACTGGTTTTAGTACCTTCTTTTTAGCGTTTTTTTCAAATGAATTTTATCATTTTTATATTACTAGATAATATATAATTATTGTATGTACAAAAGCAATATATAATGGTGAAGCAAAATACAGTTTAGGAGAAAGCTGGGAAAGCCGTCAAAGGGGGAGGGGAGGGGAGAGACGAGTGAAACACGAATTCATGCTGTTCACTACGAAATAATCATAATAAGTGTACACAAAGTGCGCTTGGGGGAGAGAGAAAGTGGTCTATTCAAGATGTCGTTGAGGACAGTTGATGGTGGCGAGAGAACCTTCTCACAGCACAATACATAGTCCAACACACACTCCAACAGTCAATGGGTTGTGTGGCCGAATCAGTTTCAAATGAGTCCTTTCTTCTTCTTGTACTCGTCCAAGTTGAGCGATCGCCGAGTGCCAGTGGTGACCATTGAGCTTGGACGAGCTTCGCTGAAGCCATTGACCATCGTCTTGCCGTTGGTGAAGGGGCCAGAGGCGAGAATGTCGCCGTTCAGTGAGCTGGCGGAATTGTGGGGCAGGGGAAGATCAAAGTCGATTTTGATGTCAAAGTTGTGAGCACTAAAGAGATCGTCAGCCGCGCTTGGCTCAACACTTTTGCTGGCCGACGCCTTTCCGCCAGACAATGTGGAGCCGTTGCTGGTCGCAGAAGTAGCATTTGTGGAGAGGCTGCTGCTGCCTTGTGAGCTTCCCGAGCTGAGGCTCTTCGACTCTGCACCGTTTTCTCTACTGTCCGTTTCCTGCGACGATTTCCCCCCTGCTCCCCCTACGGCACCTTTATTCTTGTTGAAGACGGATATCATCTTCGGAGCGCACCTCTGTCGCGTGAACGGGTCATCCTGGACACTGTTGCCCTCTTTGGCCGCTTCTGCAATGACCTTTTCCGCCTCTTTAATATTACGTAATCTGTTTCGCTCATTTATATAGGAGATAGAGGCAATGTTCTTTGTTCGGATGGTGTCACGTTGCTTCGCCACCTCCTCCAAGCGATCAATCTCCGCTTTGAGTTCACTTGCCCGTTCATGTTGGTTGTTCTGCTCGGCAAACTCCTTGTCCTTCATCAGCTGGGTCTTGCGCATAGCAAAGTTGACAGGCGTATCTCTGCGAAGCTTTTCCTTCTCTGCCACAATTTGCGCAACATCAGTATCACTAGAAGTACACACAAGATTAGCTGACTCAATGCAAACCAACACCAGATGAACCAAGAGACGCACCTGAACTGATAATTGCAGGCCTTCACGATGTCGGCCTTCTTCCGTTCAACAAACTCCCGATTAGGTAGCATGCAGTTGTCTCCGGCCATTTTGCCGATGTACTTCTCCCACTCTTCTCTTGTGAACTCAGAGTTGGAAACAAACTCAAGTCGGTAAGTTCGTTCCGGATTCTTTCCATAGCTGATCTTGATTCCTTTGTTTGTGCGAGCCTTTCCGAGGTTGTAAATTTTTGAAGTCAAGACGACATCGGAAATCTGGCCGACAATGTACTGCGGAGCGGAGCCAGTGTTTCCAATGCCGACTCGAACAAAGGCGCCAATGACGGCGTTATTGAAGAAGGGAGCATGACACCACTTTTCCATTTTGAAGCGAGAAATCCTTATCGAGTTGAGTTGAGTCAGGTCAAAGTTGAACTTCTCCTCTTCGACGTCGCTTGGTCGGCCCTTTTCCCAGGCCTCACCTCGGCGCCGGCTCTCCTTGTCAGATTTGCCTTTCACGTCGGTATCACTGTCGTCATCTGATGATGAGGATGACGACGAGGAGGAGGACGAGGAGGAGGTCTTTTTCGGAGCTTTCTTCTTGGTGTCAGAATCAGAATCCGATTCGGAAGAGTCTGAATAGACGTCAGCTGCTCTGAGTTTTTGTTTCAGCTTCTTCTTTTCTCGCTCAGCCTTTAGACCTTTGATGGCATCCTTCAAGTTGCGCTTGTCCTCCATGTTGCGTCTGCGTTCGACGCTGCGTCCTGAAGAATCCAGGGCTAGTCGTTCGGCAGCAAGCGAGTCATTGTAGATTTGGCTTTCCACCTTTTCATTCTTTTCAGTGGTTTTCTTTGCGGGTCCTGATTTGTTTAGCTGCTTCTTTGCCTTACGAAGTTTGCGTTCAATTTCAAAACGCGACTTCAGGACTTCGCGCTGCTCACTGCGGTTGAAAAGCTCCTGTTCTCTCTCCTTTTCAGTCATCTCTGCCAGCCTGCGTTGATCGTCTTCATCACCGAAAAGGTTTTCATCATAACCGTCAGTGAACTCCATGTCCAAATCATCATCATCATCATCAGCGTCTTCAACTTCTCCTTCCTCCCGTTCATCGTTCATTCTCTTTGCAGTGTTGAAACGACTTTTGGCTGGCGGTTTCTTTCTCGGCTCCTCCACCTCAGACGCGCTAGAACTGCTGCTTTCATTATCACTCTCGCTGGGTTTGAACTTCTTTTTGGTCTGCTTCGCAGGCGCTTGTTTTTTGCCAGCCGCTTTGCCTCGTTTGCCCTTCGCCTTGGGTTTGGCATTCCACTCGTCGTCGTCATCCGAAGAGCTGCTATCTGAATCGCTGGAGACGACAATTTTCGCCGTCGGCTTGGTGACTTTCTTTGTTGTTTCCTCATCAGACGACGATGAAGCGGAATCGGAGTCAGATGAGCGGCTACGCTTCTTGGCCATGGCTTTCACGACAAAGACACAACGAAAAAGTGTTGGAATAAAAGCAGTGATCGTTGAAGAGATGAGGATAAGAGAATGTTGCTTAGAGCTGAAGGTCCACAAAAACAAACGGCACTGTGTGCAGTCGGACACAAAAGCTCAAGTTGTGATGGCCTTTTCTTGCACGAGCTCGCGCAGGGTCCGTCACAGAGGACGTCATTTGAAGCAGACTGGAGAAAATCGTTCCAGAGTGACTGTTACCGAAGGAACCCGCTGGGCACTTTTCTAAAAACATTCTGATATTCATTGTTTTCAACAGATTTTTTCCTTCAGTTAGTTTTGCATCAAGTGTCTGGGTGTGACGCCTGATGGAGATTCATGGAAATGCACTGCCAGGTTTGATGATCAGCTGATGAGAGATTAAAGAGCTACGGTGAATGGAAAAGTGAAGTACAAACAGTACCTTATTATTTCGTAATAATGGCTGTTATACAGCAAAGAACATTCGAAAAGACATCAGGTAATGAGTGTAATGATCTAATTCAAGTTCCAATCAGAGCCAAAGAGCATCTCAATCGACTGGGTTGTCTCCTGTTGCTGCTGCAGCTGTAACTGCTGAAGCTGTTGAAGGTGTTGCTGTTCAAACTGTGCGTTCATCTGGTACATTGGATTTGCCTGAAGTTGATTGGCGCCGTAGAGGACGGGTTGCGTCCCTATCATGGCGGCCATATGATTCGGACGCTGTTGTTGCTGTTGGTGATGCGGCTGTATGTAGATAAGTTGTTGTTGTGGTTGCTGCTGATGGTGGTGAAGGTGCTGCAAATGGGTCTGTTGCTGCTGCTGCTGCTGTTGCTGATGATGATGATGATGTTGTTGTTGTTGCTGTTGTGGATGATGTTGAACTGGAGGCGGCGGCTGTTGAACTGTTTGTTGGGACGGTTTTGGCTTCTTTTGACGGCGAACAGGCGCCTGGTCAGTGGCAACAGGAGCAACAACGGCAGTATCAGTAGCAGTATCAGTTGCAGTAGCAGAAGGTTGAGGATCAATGTGGAGATTGGAGGAGTAAGGTAGGTCGCCTCGTTTGTAGCTCCTTCGACGACCCTTCTCCGTGCTGCAGACGACATTTCTAATGTGCTTTCTGAGATTGGCCGGCCAGAAAAAGCCCTTGTTACAGGTGGGACAGCGATAGGCCCGCTCGCCTCGGTGCACGGCCATGTGCTTCCTGTAGCTGCTGGCCCAGATGTACTGCTTTCCGCAGATGCTGCACGTGTACTGCGGCTCCCCGTGCTTCAGCATGTGCTTCTTCATGGACTCCTTCGTGGACAGCTGCTTTCCGCAGGTCTCACAGGTGTACGGCATCTCACCGGTGTGATCGCGCACTACGTGTGCCTGTCGGGAGTGATGACTGGCGAATCGCTTGTCACAGCCCTTCTCTTCGCAGGCAAACGGCAGCACTCCCTTGTGCGCCAGGTAGTGCTTGTCCAGCGCCGACTGACAGAGGAAGCCCTTGCTGGTGCAGCGGGGCCAATTGCAGCTGTACAGCTTCTTCTTGTGCTCCTCGCGAATGTGCACCAGCAACTGGTTCAACGTCGAGCCATTGGGGAGGGTGAACTTGCACTCTGGATAGCCGCACATGTAGCTGCCCTTGACGTGATGCTCCGTGTAGTGTCTCTTCAGGCAGACGTAGTTGCGGAACTTTTTGGTGCTATCGCACTGACCACACTTAAAAATGTCATCATCCGGACTGGGCCTTTTCCGCCCCCCAAAATGATCCGTGGAAAGGTGCCCGTTAAAGCGGCGTCTGAAAAGGGAGTTATTAAAGTTGATATTAACGTGTTTGTTATGAATGTAAAGTATACTTACTTAACTCTGAAGTTGCTACTACAGCCAGCAATAAGACAAGTGTATCGTTGGAGACCATGCTCCGACAGTAAGTGAGCAGTCAGTTTCGGTTTATCTTTGAGCACGGCATGACAGCCTTCTACGGTACAGCTCAAGTTGACTACAATCGTCTTGTACTTATCATCCCTAATCACATTCACTTCATTGTCATCGCGTTCATTTGGCGTGTAGTCACGATCCCTGTAGTCATCCTGACCGGCTTCATCATCGGAACTGTATTCGTCCTCGGTGGATCTGTTCGGCGATGGAGGCATGTCAAAGCCGACATCAGTACCTGCATCAAAGTCGTCCTCTCTTGGCTCAGCATAGGTTGTGACTCTAGGCCTAGCAGACAGTCTGGTTCGCTTTGATATCGGCGAGGCCATTGCAAACTTGTAGCTCATACGTTTTCCGGCCACTCGGGATCGTGTTTTTCGAACCTCTCTGATCACCAAGTTGTGCATTTCCAGTGAAGCTACCAGCATTTCCTGCTGTTCAGTGCTCAGCGGCTGCAGATCGGCCAGTAGCTGCTGTAGTTCGTTATTGGTGTAGGGCTCAGGTTTAGGCGTTTCAGGCACTGGAACCATATCAGGTTCGCCTGGAATAAGAATCTCGGCTGATGGATCTTCCGAGTAGTCGTGGTCAATGTCCACGTCCCTTTGGCTGGCACTGAGTGAAATAGAGGTGCCACAGTTTTTCGGTGGCTCGGGAATGTCAAAGTCGTCGTGAGTTCGTCTTGGCAGCTTTACACACAACTCCATGATTGGCAATACCAGATCTCGGCGATTCTTATGTCCAGTACTGATAAACTTTTTCTGAACTGCACAAAAGTAGCAATCAGTGTGGTCCTCGTTTGGCTTCCCCCATATCATGGGCTCGCAAAAATCCATGCCTGAATGACCTGTTGGAAGGTCTCGATACCAGTTGTACAGTTTGTTGTAACAGGAGTTGCAAAAGAAGTTGGGCGTCCAAGGTTCATCTAGATTGGTGATCGCTCGTCCATAGTAAGACTGATAAGCTTGTTGAGCGATTTCTGACTTCCGTACCGACTTTCGCTTTGTAATGTAGCATGGAAGTCCGCAAATGTAACAAAAGAGATCGGGATTGTTTACACATCTAAACTTCTCCGGTTGAGATGCAATGGAAACTGATGAGCTCGAAGCATTGGCGCCAGTGTCCGAATCACCGTTGGCAACAATAGGTTCATCTGAATCACACACTGGTGTGATTGTTGTTGTCAGTATCTCAGACGGCGCCGGCTGCTGAGTGGTCTCACTGACACTGGCTACAGGCACCACTTCGGCTGCATCACTCAAGTCGGGCGACACTTGTTCTCCCTCTGATGTGGCTGACATGATGATGATCGGGAGTTTGCTTTTCAGAAAGAAGAGATGACTGACATTAGTTAGTTGGGGAAATCAACACTCCAAAACAACGAAACTGCTGACGGCCTTTGTGTACCAAACCTGTTCCCGCGAGAGGGCGCCTCCAAATTACCAGTTTAAAAAAAATTTTAAAAATTTTATTTTGAGGCATTCAGCCAAGTACAGAGAATCTGTATTGTTTGTGTGTTACTTTTTCCACAATTGACAAGATTCAAAAAGGTAAGCGTCTAAAAAATCAGTCTACTTCAATGGAACGCCGATTCCTTTGTTCTCGATTCCACGAGGGAAGGGTAAAAATAGTGCGAGGGTTTCTGTTTGTTTTGATTTTTCGTGACCACGTGTTTTCATATCATTTTTTTCCCAACCAGGATTTTCGCTTCAATCATCATCTTTTGAAATGTCCTCTTCTCAGGAATCCAAAACGAACGCCAACTCCAACGGTTTGACAAATGGTACCAGCAGAAACAGCAGCTGCCATTCGCCACAATCAAACGACAAGACCACCAATCTAAACGAGGATTTCCACTTCTCCGAGCTGAGCTTGGATACACTTCGTAAGATGCACAGCAGCTTTTCCACAGCACGTAACTGGGATCAGTTTCACACACCTCGCAACATTCTCATGGCTCTAGTTGGTGAGGTGGGCGAAGTGGCAGAGCACTTTCAGTGGAAGTCCGACGCCGAGTGCCAAGTGGGTCTACCCAGCTGGACACCCGAACAGCGGACTGCCCTTGGCGAAGAGCTGAGCGACGTTCTCGTTTACCTCGTTCGACTTGCCGATCGCTGTCAGATTGACCTATCTAAAGCGGTACTTGATAAAATGGCTAAAAACGAAGCAAAGTACCCTGTTGAGAAGGCATTTGGCAGTGCCAAGAAATACAACGAACTGTAATATTACTTTTTGTCACAATACAATCATTTCTTATAAACAATGGCCTTTTCCTTTCAGCAGAAGTTCACATTCTGCTTTGCTGGAAACACCGCCTCAAAGGCGTTCTTGAGTTGAGTTAGGCCTTTTATGATGCGGTCCATCTGAAAGGCAGAACAGAGGAAGAAATGGGTTTATTTCCAACTGTGAACTATTTAACTTGCTTTCAAACCTGATCTTTAGTTTTTTGCAAGTCCTGCTGCTTCACCGTCATCACCGGTTTAGCCCCGCTGGGGTAGCCTCGTTTGACTTGATTCACCATTTGTTTGGTGCCTCTAGATATGTTCTCGATCTGAAGATTTAAAATGCAACACCTTTTTGGTAAGTTCGTCAACTAAAAATCTGAAAACAACTTACACTAGAGGAGAACTCCTTAAAGTCATTCTTCAGCCGACTATAAATGGCGTAAACCTCCGAGTTGATTCGGTTCTTCTCCACTCGAAATCTCTCGTCCTTCTTCAGCTCTTGAACAGTGTTGGCATACACGGCTTTCATCTTCTTACAGTCGATTACCACTTGTTCCATCTGTTCAGAGGTAAATGACAGTGATTTAACATATTTTCGTTACTCAAGAGCGTGCAAGCCTTACCTTAGCCATAAGCTCGCTCCACTCTTTATCTTGAATCTCCCTTCTCAGCTCCTGAATGTCCCGCTGGATGGCCTCCATCTGCTCATTAGTGCAGTCCACTTGATCTCGTTTTCCGCCGCTGCTTGCGTCAAAGTTAAAGCCCGTCGGGAACACTGGGGTGCACGGCGGAAAGTTGTTTGCGCCAAAAGTGGGCGGAGGAGGAAAATTGGCAGTTGGCGGCGTGGGAGCTGGAAAACCGCCACCACCACTACCACCACCACCAAAGTTTTGCCACTGGTTAACTTGTGGAGTTTCCAGTCTGGCAGGAAACGGCGGTTGAGAAGGTGGAAAGAAAGAGGAAGGTGGGGGCGCAAAGAAATCAACAGCCGGTCCCACTTTAGTCTTTGGTGTGATCGGTCGACTGACTGGAGTCATTGGCGGGAATGCCGGAAAGCCCATTGTTGGCTGCGGTGTGGACAGCGGAAATGGGCCACCCCCTGTCTGATTGAAGGTGCCCTCGATGACCTGTGGACGGTGTTGCTGCTGCTGCAGCTGCTGTGGCGGCATGTGATGCTTAATTTGCTGTCGAGGAGGGTGGTGATGGTGATGTTGATTGCTGACCATCGCTGGCGGTGGATGTGGCTGCAGAGAGGGGAACAGCTGAGAGCTGGTCGCCTGCGGTCGAATGTACGAGGAGTTGCCGATGGAGTTGTGCGACGGCAGGTGCTGCATTGAGGGCGCTGATGGGTAGGACATGGGGTGGTGGGCTGGAGGGGCCTGCTGAGGGGTCATCACTGCAGATGGCGAGTTAGTGGGCGGGTACAGTTGACTGGGTTGATGCTGTTGACTGCACTGTGGGTACTGTCCACCTGTACCAGCACTGAAGGGCTGTTGTGGTGGCTGCTGAAATCCACTCGGTGCCTGGTACTGTCCACTCACAGGAGCTTGCTGACCAGTCATCGGCTGCTGCTGCTGATACTGCTGAGCCAAGGGAGAATACTGATTGGTAGTATTGCCAGCTAATTGAAGTGGTTGCTGCTGTTGCATCCTGCTATGCTGAGCTTGATCATGCTGCAACAGTGGCTGCTGCTGCTGCTGTGGACCACCAGACAGAAGGGGACTTTGAGTTGGCGGTGGTGGCTGCTGCAGTTGCTGCTGTTGTGGCGATGACTGAACCATTTGCTGTGTCAACTTCATCTGCGCCATCATCTCCTCAAAGTAGCTCTTAATTTGCGCCTGCAGCTGTGCATCATTTAGCTGGCGATTGTAGTCTTCGGCATTGGGCAAGTTCAGCGTACTGCCGTTGTTCAGCTGAAGCACTCGAGGACGCTCATGGTAGTTGGCCTGAGAAAAAGGTGGTGGCTGCTGCTGTTGTTGTTGCTGAATTTCAGTTTTGTGAGAAGGCTCTTTTGGAAAAGTAGCCATTTTGGCTGTCATTTCAGGAAAACCACCAAAACCACTAGGCATTGCATCCGAGTAACTTTGTTCGGAAAAAAATTCCGTTTTTATCTGCTCAATCTTTGGCTGTTCAACTGGTGTTTGAAACGGAGGTGGAGGCGGTTGTGGTGGAGGTGGTGGTGCTTGTTGAACCGGCTCAGGATTTTTAGCAGTGGACTGCGGTGCCACTCTCGCAACAACATTAGGCGTTTTGTTTCGCTTCATTTCTACCGCTGTCGTCGCTTTGGGCGGAATGCGAAATGTCGATGGAGGTGGCGGCGGAGTTTTACTGCTTTTGCTTGCAGCAGATGCAGCAGCAACAGTTGCCTTTGCTTTGCCACCGATACCACCAGGCGATGGAGAACTTTTTGATGAAGCTTTACTACCGCCAGGTTTAGTGGACGGTGAACTGGTCTGCTTGCTGCTTGCCGAAGGTTTGCTGCTGCCGCTGACAGCAGTTATCTTCTTGGGCGACAATTTAGTGCCACCTTTTGTGCTTTTTACAGGATCACTTTTGCTGAAAGCCGCCGTCTTACCAACATTTGGATTCTTGCTAGAGATTTTGGTAGGCTTTTTGGTGCTCTTGTTCACCTTTACACTACCGCCATCCTTCTTTACGCTCTCCTTTTCGCTGTCCTCGCTGTTCTCACTGCTCTCGCTGGAGGTGTCAGTGTTCAACTCGGGAGGTAGAAGCTTCTTTGAGAAACAATGTCCCATGTTGGCTATGAAATGAAGTGAACGTAAGCAAAGTTGGTGTATTTAGTGAATTTTTTTAGTTAAATGTCGAATTTTGAGTTTTACTTGAAATCTGCAGTCATTGTTGTCCACGCTTTCTATAAAAACAACTTTTGCATCTAAGCGCCATTCATTCTATAGTTTTGTGTTGGTTGTGTTTTAACTGTATTTTTTGTTGTTTTCAAGCAAGCTTTCTTTTTCAGTGACAGCAAAAGACGACTTACTTGCTGACGTGTGACGTTAACATTTTTTTCAAACTCTAACAACTGCCAACCAGCGTGATCATGAGCGACCAAGGAGGCGGTGGTGGTTCCGGCACTGAGAAAGCGGAAAGCGCCTCATCAGCGGCCAAGTCCTCAGAAGGCGGTGCATCAGGCTCAAAGACGGCTTCCACTGAGCCGTCCAAGGAAGGCGCCCCTGCTTCCTCTTCTGCCGCCTCAGGCAGCAAGTCAAAAGACGGAGGAGGCTCAAAAGCTTCTTCCAGCAAGTCCAAAGATGGAGGCTCCAAGGAGGGTGCGGCAACTGCCAGCAAGTCAAAGGAGGGCTCATCAGCAGGAGCTACCCCATCGAAGGAGGGCTCATCGGCGCCCAAGTCCTCTTCGGATGCCAAAGACTCTGCCGCCTCTAGCAGCAAGTCAAAGGATGGCTCCAAGGCCGCTGCAAGCAAATCGCAAACCAAAGACAAAAGCTCCAGCAGCAAGGTAAAGTCAAAAGAAGGCGCCAGCGCCTCCAAAGAGAGCTCATCAGGTGCCGCCAAGTCAAAGTCAAAAGCCTCTGCCAGCAAGTCAGGCGACGGCTCAAAGGCTAAATCAGAAAGCAGCGCCGATGCAAAGTCTAAATCGAGCAGCTTGGACTCTAAAGAGAAGCCAAAATCTAAGGAAAAATCCAAAGAGAAGAAGAAGTCAAAGACCAAGCCGAAGTCTAAGGAGTCGAAATCAAAGTCGAAATCGAAGGAAAGCAGTTCTGGCCTTGACAAACCTAAATCGAAGGAAAAGTCGAAGTCTAAGGAGAAATCTAAGTCAAAGGAGAAACCCAAATCGAAAGAGAAGCCCAAGTCAAAATCAAAGGGCGGTCCAAAGTCTGGCGATGCAAAGGCAAAGTCGGTGACCAGTGCGGCCGGCTCCAAGGTGGGCAGCAGTGCCAGCAACTCCAAGGAGCAGCACCTTGGAGGCGGCAAAGGCCATGGCGGCAAGGTGAACCTGGCCGGCGCCAAGATCGGCCTTGTGGGCGCCGGAAAAATGGCCGAAGCGATCGTCCGCGGCCTGCTCACCTCTGCCAAGATTGATCCGCGCAAGATCTTCGTGGCGGGCAAGTCGGGCAAGACGCTGGACACCTTCAAGTCGCGCGGCATCACCGTCACCAAGCGCTCGTACGACATCTTCGGGCAGTACGACTGCGACATTGTCTTCCTTGCCGTGCACGGCTACGTCATTCGCGCCTGCTTCAAGGGCGGCGGAAGTCGTGCTTTCGCCTTCACCATCAACTACATTCCCAATCAGAAGCACCCGCTGTACGTGCTCTCGCTGATTGGCGGCGTCAGTCTCACTGACATTCGACAGACGCTGCTCGATCCGGACAACCCGGACAAGTACATGCTCTTCATGCACCGCATCATGCTCAACGTGGGCGTCGCCCTGGGCTTGGGCATGGGCGCCCTGGACGTTGAGCCCGACGGAAAGCAGTGCAGCCCCATCGTGCGCGACCTGCTTTCCTCCATCACCAAGGAGATGATGATGTTTCCTGAGCAGATGATGGATGCCGCTTGTGCGGTGGGCGGCAACGGCCTCGCCATCTGCTACTACTTCATCGCCAGCCTCGCCGACGGCGGCTTCAAAATGGGCCTGAACAAGGTGATGGCCATCAAGCTGGCGGCCAAGGCGTTGCAGTCGGCGGCGCAGTGTCTGCTCGAATCGGACAAGCACGCCAGCGAGCTGCAGGACTCGGTGACCTCGCAAGCCGGCCCGGCCATCTACGGCATTCACGTGCTGGACAAGGCCGACTGCTCGTCGGGTTTCCAGGCCGCCGTCGAGGGCGCCTACCGTCGACTGAAAGAGCTCGTCGACATTGAGCCCGTCGCGGAGATTGAGGCGAAGCCTTTCAAGCTCTAAGGTGTGGTGGTGGCTGTAGCCTGAACTTCTTCCTCTCCTTCCACCACCGCTGCCACTGCAGCCAAAACAGCAGATTTCTTAACTGCTATTTGTCACTATTTTATTATTAGTAGTAAAAATAATTTTAACTTTTTACTAATTTTTTTAAATTTATTGAAACAACAATGAATTTAGAAATCTTTATTGTTGAGTGGTAAGTTTGAGAAATGCATGTGTTTAGAAGCATTTTCGATGGACAATAGAGGGGCCATACTCGACGTAATCCTGCTTAGAAATCCACAATGGTTCGAAGCTGCTGAGAGTAGAGAGAACAGCGCCACCAATCCAAGCAGAGTGCTTCTCCTTATGAGGAGCACTGATTTCGATGTTCATTTGTGACGGGGCTAAAGCAGTGATCTCCTTCTTCAAACGATCAGCAAAGTCAGGAAACCTGGTATTCCCACCAGAAAGAACAATGTTAGCAAAAAAACCTTTTTGGTAGTCAACGGGGCACTTCATGACAGAGTCGTAGATGGTCTCGTGGATGCCGTTGTTTGCCAAGCTGAAGAGGGATGGCTGAAAGAGAACTTCCGGACAGCGGAATCGTTCATTGCCAATGGTGATCGCCTGACCGTCAGGCAGCTCGTACGACTCTTCGAGGATAGACGAGCTAGCAGCGGTGGCCATCTCCTGTTTAAAGTCCAAAGCAACATAGCACAGCTTCTCCTTTATATCACAAACGATTTCTCGCTCTGCCGAGGAAGCCAAATAGTAGCCACGATCAGTGATGATGTTTATCAGGTAGTCGATGAGATCGCCACCACCCAAGTCTAATTTGAGAATAGCATCGGGCAAAGTGTAACCTTCGTAGATGGGCACAACGTGAGAAACACCGTCACCAGAATCGAGTACGATACCAGCAGTGCGACCGGAATGGTACAGTGAGAGGACAGCCTGAATGGCAACGTACATGGCCGGTGTGTTGAAGGTCTCAAACATGATCTGGGTCATCATCTCTCGTTTAGCTTTTGGGTTCAACGGAGCTTCAGTGAGAAAAACTGGATGTTCTTCTGGAGCTACACCTAGCTCTTTGTAGAAGGCGTGGTGCCAGATTCGTTCCATGTCGTCCCAGTTGGTAATAATGCCTCGCTCAATAGGATAGTTCAACCTGCAGATATCTCGCTTGCTTTGGGCTTCATCCCCAACATACGAATCCTTCTGATTAAGGTTAGAATTGCACATAAAAACAAAATTATCAAAACTTAATGACAAATTTCATATACGGAAAACATACCAAAGCGTAGTTTCGAGGTCGACCGACAACAGAAGGGAAAACGGTGCGAGGGGCATTCTCACCAGAAAAACCAGCTTTGCACGTTCTTGAACCATTGTCAATCACAATTTTTTCAACATCGTCATCAATCATGGTAACAGAATTGTTGTGGAAAGTGAAGTGTACCAAGAAAAACAAGAGAAGACAGAATGTCGACTCTTCAAGCCTTCACCGCACTAACAATGCACGCTACAGGAGGAATCCGTGATAGACTAAAGATCTCTGATAAAGGACGGATTCGCACAAAACACGCAGTCGCACATTTCTCTACAACGTTTGTGTTCCATGCATACAACTGCTGCAATTTATCGCAACTTGATCTTTTTTGCGATGCGACTGCCCTTTTGCTGTTATCAGCAGTTGTTTCTTTTTTTGAGCAAGCTTCGAGTTTATCAAAGCTTGCAATAAAGTCATCTTTATGTAATGCAGAATTCACTTTACTGAACCATTTATAACACAAAATTTACTACTTCATTGCTCTAAATACGCAAATCCTTAATGGACAATTTCTATTTTCTAGCGAAGCGTACTCACTTTGTACCCATTCACCTTTTTGCAGTGCACTACTTTTTGTGATGAATCCAACCTTTCAAGGTCACTAATTACCAGTATAGTGTGAGTATGTGTGTTTTAGAAATGGAAAGAAAAAAGCAAGCTTCGGTATACTAAAAAAGCACTCATGCGGTACAGTAGAACGGCAGTTTTAGAACTTCAACGCCCATCTCTTTGAGAGTTGCTGAAAGGCGAGTGGAAGTTCAGTTTCCCAGATCCGCCTACTGCTGCGCTTAAATAGACTGCTGTTGCCGCAACACACACACACAAACACAAACACTACGGCTGCAATTACACACTCACTGCAGAGTGTCGCCGTCGTCAAGGTAGTCGCTTGCAGGTCCTGCTGATGCTCCGTAATTAGCCACCTCGGAAGGGTGATGGCACCGTCACTTATATCACTGCTGTCACCACCAAACATTAGCCATGCATCGCCGATAATGGTCACTGGTGTCGATTTGTAAGGCTGCTGTCGTCGGTAAGACTCATTTGCCGCAGCCACTGCTACCATTGCTACCACTGACGAGCAATCAATTGACGATCGACTCTCGATAATCTTGTGCTCCTGTCACCCTGAGAGTGGCGACTTGAGAATGGAGAGAACTAATCTGCTCTCTTTCTCTGCTTAAAAATTGGAGCACTTCTTAGGGAGAGTAATAACTAAGGTAATAAGTTGTAGAGAGCATGCAATGTGCAGCGGCAGTGTGCTTTGCAGAAAACGACGCCGCATTCCAATCACTTGTCACTCTCTGACGGTCAGAGTAAGACGACCGTACACTAACACACATTGCTAACTCTGTTTATACAACTTATCACACTTGATTTTGATTACTTCAAGTGTGCTTCAAGCTCTATTCATCTACCTACATTTCGACCACAGTAAAATGGCTGCTGGACTAAGTTCAGTATTGCTAGGGTGCCATCTTCTTCTTCAACTTTCTCTTCGTGATGTCATCTGCAGTGACCACTCTCACCACCATCAATATCCTCATCAGATGTATGAAAGCAGCAGCGTTGACTACCAACAGCTGGAGATGCCCAGTGTGGCCGGGGCAAAACTAGTGGGCATCTTCGAGGATGACCATAAAGCAAATGCAAAAGGAAAGGCAGTGAAGAGTGGAAAACACAACTACACATACTGGCCAAATCATCTCAACATGGAAAAGAGACACTACTGCAAGGAGGTGATTTTTGAGGATAGTGGTCTTCGATTTGTGCCCTCCACCAAGCCTAGCTGCATGCTAGGGCACGATGACGACGATAGGCGGCACTTGCAGTTGAAACGACAGAAGCGAAGCACCAATACGGTTTGTTGTTGAGGGCGTAGTGCTGGTCCAGCACAACTGTTCTCTAATTTTTGTTTGTTTGGGTTTTCAGCAAGTCCACCTGCCGTTATACTTTCAAATTCCCGCCAAGCCCAACGACGTGAACGAGATAGTGGAGAATATAGACGACGACAGCTACATCAAAGTGAGGATGCGTGTCTGCAGTGAGCCAGGTGGCGAGGTGATCGTCAATGACGTCATCACCGAAACCATTCTCGACGGCTTTCGCAATTTGGGCGGCTCACGACAGTGCAACAAGTGGGTGGAACTGCCTGAAAACAATAAAAACAAACAACTGGAGGAGTTAGCATTTGAAAAGTTCATCAGCGAGTCTAATCTGGTAATATAAAACGAGGACTCAATCTCATTCTGATATGTATGCTTGAGTAGATTCAGGTTGAGTACAAACCACCGACGGACATGGACGTCTTTACCATCAAATGGAAGAGCTCTTTTCTCAAGAATGGCCATGGCTCCCGTATGCTGCAGTACCTGCATAAAAAGACAGAAGAGGAAGTCTTCAGCCTCGAGGTGAAATACGAAGTGATCCCCTTCAGAGTCGACCCCGAAGACCCCGAGGTGCTGATGCCTGACCCGCCTGAAGGACCCATCTCCCCGGCGGCCATTCCCTACCGGGCGAACTGGGTCAAGACGTACTCACTGGGACGGCGGTCACTGTGCGACATGAGCGGCGTCACCAACTGCCAGGAGAAGTTCCGCGTCGGCATTCAAGTGGAGATTGAACGACTTGACCTGGATTTTGACCGCGGTGACTACCTCATCGTGGGACCGGGCATTCGTCCCGAGTTCTGGAAGAACTCAAAGGGACAGGCAATCGCTCAGCCGATTGGCGTCGACAAGGACGATCCGCAGCAGGGCAGCGTGAACATCTGGATCAACGCCGACTCGGCCTTTCTGCGCATCGTCACCCACAACTCACTGCGGGAGACGACAAACGATACGGTGGCACTGAAGTTCAACTGGATACCGGCCAATGACACACTGCCCGACATGAAGGTCGACGAGGTGTCGCAGAAGCTGAAGGAGGCATCACTGCAGGTCTGTCTGATTGAGTACCAGTGTACGGTCTTCAAGCCCATCGAGGATGCCATCAAGAAGGAGGCGGTGCGCATCTTCAATCAGTATCTCATGGCCAATGACAAGTCCATCACCACGCTCATTGACGAGACTTCGGGTTCGTTGCAGCTGCTGTTATTGTTGTTGTTTGTTCTGCTTTAAAATCAGCTGATCTGTTGTTGCTCTTTTTATTTACTTTTGACTTCAGTGCTCATCTTCGATCCGGAGCAGTTCTCCTATCCAAAAGGCCGTCGAACCGAGTACTACTGTCAGTTCAATCTGGCCATCGCCAGTCCGTACGACAGTGAGTTTCCGCTGGTGGGCAGTGACATCATCTACAAGATGCTCTTTCCCAATGGGGGCTCAAGGCAGATGATCCGCTCGAGCAACTCCACAGTGTCTGTAACGATAAACAACTGCGAATTTGAGCTCATCTCTTGGAAGACCATCTTCATTCCCATTGTCATCATCCTCGCCATCTCCATCTCTATAATGCTCATCTTCTGGAGGTTTGTCACACCTTCTTGTTTGGTAAACTTGCTCATCATCTTGTTTCCCCTTTCAATGTAGATTACAAAGTAAGGTTCTGCAAAACGACAAAAACTACCATCGCAACCAATCTCAATCGGAGCGTTTTATAGAAAACGAGCAGAAGAGGGTGACGAGGTTGAAAGACTCAGACGAAATCAATCAGGCAATGCAGTACTGATTTTCATAAAGTAAAAGTCAGTTTATTTATTATTCAAATGATAATTCAGAGCAAATGTACATAAAATTTAAAGTGACTAGATTGAAAAGATTGATAAATAAAAGAAAGTTGTAGTAGCTGTTCAAAGTTTAAGTGTAAGGATACTCTTTCATTAAACTTTTCAGTTGTTGAGGTCCATGCAACTTTTTTTCAATTTTTTGCTTTGCTTTATCTTGAGATATTTTTTACAATGTCTCTTTTTTGCTTCCTTTGTCATGACAACTGATATTGATCTATTTTTCAAAAAATTCTATCTAATCTTTAGTTCGACCAAGATCATGTCACATTTTCAAATATTAATATCTTTTTCCCTTCATTGAAAAGTCAATTTTTGCACTCAACCATTTAGCAACTTAATTTTTTGCTTTGCAAATGTTTCACACTGCTTCTTTGCCAATCAATCAACCAGTATAATAATCTTATTAATTACAATTATGACATAAACAATTGCTAAACTATGTGGTTTTTCTTTTAACATAAGTTGAATCCACGTCTACATTAATTGCAAAAAATGTCTTGTTTTAATAAGAGTTCGAAACAAAAACTTCATTTATTTTTAAATTACAATGAACGTTTCTTCTTTTACTAAAAATGAAATGGTAATTTTAATTACTAATTTATTTTTTGTACATTTGAATATTTAGGTGCAAAAGGTAAATTGAGTGCACTTAGTTGCTTAAAATATCTTTTTTCTTTCTAACTGTAATAAGTAATTTTTGTGTAAATTTTTAAATGTTACCTTTACTGTTGTTATCTGAATACTACTGTGATCTGTTTTTATTACAATTTGCCCATTAAAATGACTTCACTTTTCTACAGATCAAAGAAACTTGGGAGGGCAGCTAATCGGGTGATTTCTATTCTGCAGAGCAACATGTACCGTTCATACATCTCACTGGTAGTTCCTTACAAAACATTGGCCTTTTTCGTGGAGTACTTTGACACCATTGAAGAGATTGACCTAGAAAGAAGAGGTATCAGTGACGGTAATGGTGGTAGAGGTTCATCACCGTCCTCAAATGCTTCCACTTTTTCTACCTTTACTTTGCACCGCTTCAACTCTCTGACAGAGTGCTTTTCTTTGACTTTGTTTACCAAATCACCGGCCAAGTGGAGCTCAATCTAGGCATGGCTTTTGTCAGCTTGATGACAGGCTACTTTTACCATTTGATGTACTTGACCAACTACAATGAATTGACCTGTATCTTAAGAGATATTCTAGTTCATGGAGAGCTGTACTTTTTTCTTGAGCCATTCCACAGACGAAGTGGTCGGCCGCTGAATAAGGTCGTTTTGAGAACTGCCCTGTTGATCATCAACGGATTACAGTGCTTTATCTTTGCTATCGGTAAAAAATTCGCAAATACCATTGTGTTTTTATTATTCACAACTTTCCTTTTAGA